CGCTCTCTTCCTTTCTCTCTGTCTCGCTCTTTCTCTCGCCATTCGCACGCTCTCTTCTTCCTCTCTCTCGTCCCTCTCATCGTCTCTTATCTGTTTTTCCTTTCCCCTTTCGCTCTCTATCTATATCTCTATTCTTTCTCCATCATCATCTCTCTCACCCTCTCTTTCTCTCTCTCTCTCGCTCGTTCTCAACTTCTCCCCCTCTCTCGCAGTCTCTACTCGTGTGTTCATATGAGCGTCCTGTACAGCGACCTCCTTTTCTAACGAACTAGCCAACTTGTCCCGACTGTGCGGAAGCCATGCCCACGCGCATCCTGAATCTACCCGTGTGTACGGGTGAACGATGGGATAACGCAGCTCTCTCCATTAGTGTGCTCCGGCGGTGAAGCTGCTGCTGTATCACCGGATCAAATGGCCGCGTGCGCGCAGACGCCTGGCGCGTAAAGATTTTCAAATTCGATTTAGCATTTTTGTTTAGTCAGATGCCTACTAAACGTGCAATAAAAGCGCAAGAGCGAATTCGAGTGCTGCTGCCGAATGGTGTTGAGTCGCTGTCCGTTACACCTAGACTGGTAACTAGTTCGTTTGGCGTGTGCAACGGAAATTTGTCGCGACAATGCCAAGGTCCAGTCTATGCTGTCATATCCTATATGCTATTCCATCTCGTGCTTCGACGACGGTAATGAATGCGCAACAAGCATTTTACGGGAAAATAATTTTTGGCATTTTTTTAGTTTATTTTACGTTCGGGAGCTCTAACAGAGCAAAAGTCATTTGCAAAATGCAACGCAGTGCAACATCAGCTCATCCCGATGAAGCCACATCAGGACACGTTAGTCCAATTAAGTGCACGCAGATGTGCGTTAATGCCTGCAGATGTTGTTTAATCAGGATGTTAAAATCGAGAGGAGAGAGATAATTATTGCAGCATCCGCCGAACGATGGCGCGATTGACCGTCGTGGGGGTAAGATAACGTTGCGATCCATCTTCAGTTCCTGTCTCAAAGGTTCCCAGAGGCACGGAAGCCATTACGTGCCGATACCTCGAGCTCTTCACTACTGAAGGATGTCGAGTCCTTAATCTGCACGTACGACGCCTCGCGAGCGCGCGCGTATAGAATGCGCCGACGTGTTTCCTACGTGAGTAATCAAACATTTATCGCCGCCGCTCGCGCCGTCGGCTGCGCTAACCTCGGCCTAGTGAGTGCATCGGCACGTGTTCAGCGCGGGGCGAATGTGTCCGATGGAAAGCGAGGATCATCTGCAAGGATCGTAAACAGGCGCAGATGTCTCGCTGAAACGCAAAAACATCTCTCGCGCGCGCCCTCGGCCCGGCATCAGCGTCGGGTTGCCTGCTTCCATCGCCGCCCGCGCTGTCATCTCGCACCGAGCGTAAACAAATATGCATTCGCTGCATCTGTCCCGTGCACGTTCTCGCAGCCTCCGCATCTTCTCTCTGCGCACGAGGCGTGGAGTGACGTCTATAGAGGCTTACGTAGAGAACTTCGCTGACGGGATGATCGTCTGTTGATGAAAACGACACTCTATCGGCCAGCAGGAGCCCACGTTTACACACACACACACACGCACGCGCGCACACACACGCACACACACACATGCACGCGCGCACGCACGCACACACACACGCGCGCGCACACACACACACGCACAAACACACGCACACACACACGCACACACACACACACGCACACACACATGTACACACATGCTTACACACACATATATATATATATATATATATATATAGCTATAAATAATAAACAAATAAATGTATGCGTCTGGACAACTGTATTTTTAGACACAACAAAAGAGCCCGCGCAACAGTTTACATTTCTTATCCGATCCTTCTTCACGACAGCGTCGTAAAGTCGCAAAGCCGTGGCTATACATACGCACTTTGCAGTGTTCGCGTACGTTCATAAACCGATGTCGATGGTAAGCAAGCAAGGGTTTGGTTAACGGTCCCCCGCCTGTTTGACAGGCATTATCATGTCAACATCAATGCGTGCGAACACGCCTATGTGTAGACGTAACAATCACGCCCATACCGGTCGCGCTCGCAACAGCTATATGTCAATTAATCGCGATACATTTCGACGGAGAGGTGACACCATCGCGCACAACTGGGAACGAAGCTCAATCGCAAATGATAGCTGGTGTGTGCGCGCGCGCGCGCGCGCGTGTGTGTGTGTGTGTGTGTGTGTGTGTGTGTGTGTGTGTGTGTGTGTGTGTGTG